CATGTAATAATATATTAAAAAGAAAAAGTGTTATGCTGATCTTCCTCTTTATGAATGAGTTAATCATGATTGTTGAGTATGTTGATGTCAAATATTGAATGTACCAATTAAAAAAATGATGTTGCAGTTTGGTTCAGTGGCTGTCTGTTGAGGTGTGTTGCTGATGACACACATTGTATGGATGATGACAATGACGTTGAGGATGATGATGATGGCTATGAGGAACGATAGTTTGAACGTTTAGTATCAGGATGCTGATGAGATAGTGATGCTGATGATGATGTTGATGATGATGATGATGATGAGGATGATGATTGTGAGGATGATGATTGTGATGATGATGGTGATGGTGATGGTGATGATGTTGATGATTCTGAGAATGAGGAAGATGATAATGGTGGTGATGATGATGATGATGAATGTGAGGATGATGATGATGGTGATGATGAAGATGACGACAACATTCAGGATGATGTTGATGATGAGTGAATTAAGTGTCAAAATGTGTGTTAGAGAGTGTGAAAATGAAAATACCTGTTCTGTACCTATAATTTGAAAAACTGTTGGAAAAATAAATTGATAAAAAAAAATATCAACAGTGTCCAATACAGATGTTAGAAGAACAGCGTAAAGAGATGGGTGCCTATTAAATATAAGTCACCAACATTAACGTCGATTGTTTTTTGGAAGGAGGGGTAGGGGGTGTTTATTTCATTCGCCCAATAAACATTTGTTGTACAAAAAGAAAACATTATTTGCCTAAATTTGGGAGTGTGTTATCTCAGTAAATATTCATTGATGACTCACTGATTGAAATGATATCTGTAATTGATTTTCATATCAATGTTGCTTTCGTGCACATAAAAAGACACCAGCCTTCAAGGTCAGCCAGCAGAGGTGATGCTATGTTTAAGTCCATGTTCAACGATAGGCCACTTTATACAACACGAATCAGTAAAAACACACGAGGAAATCATTGACAAAGGTAGAACACTAAAGTGTGTGTGTTTTTTATGGAATATATTTGATTGCATTTTTGAAAAGATGTAAATGTCCTTTTATGGCTCAAGTGGATGTAAAGACGAAGTGGATGTAAATGCGAAAATACGACAAATTGGAATGTTTCACTATGGAATATGATTATGGGGAAAATAAACTAAGAATGAATCTAGGTATTGAAACCTAAAAACGTTTTTAATTTTTCGGCGATGTTAGGTAGTATTTTATTGTAGATGAACGTTACCCACGATAAGCCATTTACTACAGTGTATAATATACTACAGTGTATAATGTACTACAGTGTATAATGTACTACAGTGTAATGTACTACAGTGTATAATGTACTACAGTGTATAATGTACTACAGTGTATAATGTACTACAGTGTATAAAGGGTTATTCAAGGACATTTCGTATTAAATCAATGTATTGATCACGATCAAAGCCTCCTCTTTGTAGCTAGGTATGTCGTATTCCACACTTTGTGAACATCGCTATGTACAATGTATCATTGTAATTACTAAGTACACTTTTAATAATTGTAACATTCGTGTCTTTTACTATGACATTCCTTGGTTGGAATGTTGGGTGAAATTATCGTCTCTAAGGGGACTTATACGTTGAGACCCTATTATATGGCCGAGACAATATATGCTTGATTTATTTCTTAGATTCTTTCTCCAACATGTCCCAAATATTTCAAGGTATGCTGTTTATGTTTTAAAAAAAACATAAGTGAATTCTGTCATTCGCTCATTACCTTAGAAAAATAATGCAATAATCGTGGAGTGTAGTTTATCTTAGTATGGTTGAAGTAATTTGGCAAATTATTATCAACATGGCCTTCACAAAGCAATTTTCAAAATATACAGATATTGACTAACTCTTATATTGATAATTGCAGTAGTTTGAGAGTTCTTCGATCACAATCCATCAACTTATAATTCAGTACAAGGAAAGTAATGTTTTTTTTTGTTTTTTTGTTTTTTTCCTTTTTACATGCAAAAGATTATTAATATGACTTTCACATTTTATAAACCAACACTACGATTCCTACTTGCCTATACCAAAGCTGGGTACATTACACAAACATTTTGGGTACTGTGACAAAAGGAGAGATGAATATTTTCCGGGTAGCTTTGTCACACGTTCGACCTTTTTTTCAATAAACGAATTGTCAGAACAATCTGCAGTTCCTTTTGGCCTTTCTCTGCTAATGATAACCCGACACAAATTCCTGCTTCTGACCCGACACTAACGTCAGTTCCTGATTATAACCCGACACTAACATCAGTTCCTGTTTATAACCCGATACTAACACCATTGTCTGTTTATATTCAAATACTAACACACCTACTTGTTTACGACCCGACACTAACACTACTGTCCGTTAAAAAGGTAAAACGCAAACAACGCTGCCTGTATATGATCCAATATTAACACCACTATCTGATAAAGATTCAACACTAACATTGCTGCCTGTTTTTGACCCGACTATAACACCCCTACCTGTTTTTGACCTGACTATAACACTACTACCTGTTTATGACCCGACACTAACACTACTACATGTTTATGACCCGACACTAACACTACTTCCTCTTTATAATCAGACACTAACACTACTACCTGTTTATGACCCGACACTAACTCTACTACTTGTTTATAATCAGACTCTAACCTATTTGCCTGTTTATATCATTACAGATAGCCAAGCAAGCCACATCTTACTTCTCCATGCCAATCATCATCCAGTTGCCAGTATAGGTGAAATGCTGCCTACCAAGTGACCTATAAATCAAGATGGTTCCTGTTCCTGTACTAGTCTTAGCCATAGTGGAGCAGTCAAAGTCTATCCGTGCGATCATAACTCAGTTATATGTGTGAGTGCTGACCTGGAAATAACTCAAATGACTTCTGGAATCTAGTTATTATGGAATTTACAAAACATATGGACATATAGAATCGCAATATAACATGATAAATCATACGACATAATGGAGTACGGTGGAGCCTAATTTCAGTGTACGGTGGATCATTACTGTGAAGTACAGTGGGACACTAGTATGGAGTACAGCGAGGTCGAATTTTGAAGTAGATATTACAAAAAGAATGTGGAGGACGGTAAAACATAATTAAAGAGCACAGTGGATCATTACTGTGATACTTGTGGAGTACGGTGGGAAATACTTGTGGAGTATATTGTAACACACTCCTGTAATATAGTTATCTTTCCCTTCACTATGTCGATGTCCGAAGTTTCTATTGAGGATATCGAACGGCTGTACACTTTCCAGAAGTGGGCGGTACCAGTGGTGGTAGCGTTCGGCCTGCCCCTCAACATGCTCAGCTTCTACTTGTTCTGGCGAACCAAACTACGCAAGGCGTCGTCCTCGCGGTACATGGCGGCCATAGCGATGGCGGATAGCGGCTACCTGTTTAGTAAGATGCTCACGCATCTGCCGGTATTCGACGTTCCTGTTTACCACATTCACGGATCCTGTCAGATAATCATGTATATAAACCACGTGTCTACGTTTCTGGCTATCTGGTTCCTCGCAGCTCTTGTCATAGAGAAGAGTATAGGCCTGTACTGGCCGCGCAAAAAGTCGAATTTTTGTACTGTGTTTCGCGCCAAATGTGTGATAGCCGCACTGACCGTGATGTCGATTGTCTGTTATCACTACATCACGTGGACAATCGGACCCAGTGCAGACAAGTTGTACTGTTCGCCTTGGCCTGATAATAATCTTTTGCAACCGTTTGAAAAACTCGCCCGAATGGACGCTTTCCTCGTGGCCGTTATACCACACGCGACAATTTTTGTTTTGTCGTGCCTTATATCGATAAAAGCGTGTATATATTACAGCCGGTCCAAGTCACCGGAACAAGAACAATTTGTCCGGCGTCAGCGGACATGTCTACCCCAGGAAAAGGAGTTCCGGACGACACCGTCCCTCCTGTGCGTGGCATTCACCACCGTGTTGCTTGACGTGCCCAATTGCATCATTCGGGTCTTTTTCATTATGCACCCCATCTACAACCCCGTCGCCTCATTCCTGCAGTTCGTCACATACTCCATCAAGACGGAGCTGTACTTTATCTCTTCCTCTCAGTACCGTTTGGAGGTATGGCGTCTCATTGCTAGAATAGCCCGCTTTTGTAAGATAATAGAACCCCAAAACGACACTCAAACCGTTAGCCAGCAAACGGACAATGGTGGCGAAATTATTGTGGAAGGGAAAGTTTAGACCAAAGGTTCCTTGCGACGTTATATGTCAAATGATGTACGTAACATATTGACATTTATAGACCGAAGGTGACAAACCACGTGTTAAACCTTTGATTTGTTTCCACGTGGTGTGGTTAATATTATAGCGTCACGTGTTAAATCCAGATATATAACATGTCACCGGTTGCAGGGTTGCGACGGTTTTTTCCGGAAACAATGTGTTACGTGATAATAATGATATGGCAATGTTATATACTCACAGACATATCAGGAGTTATAATTACATAGTGACGTCATACCTTTTACTGTGTTAGTTATGTATCATTTAATGAGGTATTATAAACAAAAAATGACGTGTCATCAAGTTTTACGATATAAGTGACGAAACAGAAATATATGCAGGGAGAGACAAGTCATACGTTACTGAGTCTCGAGCAAAGTGTCATAACTTGAGCTTGACGTATCATTGGGTAAAATGCAGGTGGTGACGAATCTTTTAGGACGAAGTGTAATGAAAAATAAAACCAGGATGCGACACGTGTTGGGGTGTTATGAGAAAATGACATGTGCACCAATTGTTATCTGGATGTGAAACGTGTCACCGTGTGTCAAATGTAAGTGTAGAGAGTATATACAATATCTTAGTTTATGGGCTCGGTAAACAACGGCATGTAATTGAAAGCGATGAGTTCCATTGCCTTGAATGCAAAACAAGTATTAGCTCACTGTATTGACCTTGATGAATTAAAGTACTAATGCATCATAATATTGTATCGATATTTTTTTTGACTTGATTTCTTTTACAACAATTATAAAACAAGTATTACTTGTAAAGTTAACAACTCTTTTTGCCCACACGGAAGCCCAAATGTGGTTTTGTGTGGGAGAACACCGGAGTACTCAGAGACAACCAATGTGGTCGGGTGGGTGACCCCACACCTGTTCATGTGAAATCGGGAAATCTAACCATGGCCGTCTCGGTGAATGGTGAGTGCACAATCCATTTTGCAACCCGACCGACCATTGCAGCGGTTGCAGTATTAGTGCATTATATTCTTCCTAAAGGATAAAAGTATCATTGCATAATGGTATCATGGTGCGATATCATATAGATCTGAATTCATTCCAGTGTGGCACGTGACAATTTCAATCAGAACGAATCTATTAGGTCATCATAATTGATCAATGAATATGACCTCGAACATGTGATTTGTGAGAACAACGTCTGGCATTGATGTTTTGAGAGTAGAGTATCGTACAGAGAGCGATATCGTCCACTCGCTACTGACGATTGATGGCAGGTGTAGCGATTACTAGTAGATCATGTCATAATTAAGCCAAATAGATCATAAATACCATACAAAAACAGTCCAATACTTATATTTACGTTTTCTCTGCCTCTTATGTTCTTTTTTAAACTATAATTTATATTTAAAATTAAAAATGCCCGCCTTATCGACAGTCCACACAAATTCGTTCAATAATTTGAACAGCGTATTGTCGCGTGCTGATTGGCAAACAAAGTAGTACTTTGGAATTTTAACACTTCAATTCTATTCCACAATTCAGTATCCATACAATTGCGTATGATATGTCTATAGGGTGATTTAAGTTTATCAATAAAAATCTGAGCTGAAAGTTAGATTTCAAATTGTTCCGATTTTTTCCCCGGAACAAATTTCGCGCATAGATAAATACAGTGAACACCGTGAATCCGACCTTGACCTCCACGAGGGAGTTATTTTTGGAAGTTGATTCGAAAGTTTCTCTTTGCTCATTTTGTGAAGAATCCAGACGTGAATTTATTTTTTGATTGTATGTGAATCTGACTACAGTCGGTTGATTCTATAACAGCCTCGTTATTTGACATGTCGTGATCAGAAAATGAGGAAACCGTGGCTGCGAGACGCGTGAAACTGATATCGTTTGAAGTGAGAGATCTTGCGACGGAGTACAGGGGTTCGTTGCAAACGTCTGAAATGTTTATGTGTGATGTGACTCATATCAGTAGGTCTGTAACATATGTGTCAGTAGGTCTATAGAATATGTGTGTTTCAGACATTTGTAACGAACCCCTGTTGATCAGTGCAGTGTAACAGACGATATTTCTGATAAATTGCATGAGTGTTAAAATTGTTTCCATTGCCAGAATTGGTGATTTCAACCGATGTACATTTTGTACGATATTGCAGATCTTGGTCTTGTTTTTGTTGTAATAAAAGTATTTTTTATTTACTTTTTTCTTTTGCACATAAATGTATAATGACATTGTCAAGTCTCACAATGCCCAGCGATATTTCAGCAGCCGTCATGTTAATTTACATTGGATATTGTAGTTCCGGTCAGTGTTGTATTAATACGCTAAGCAATGTGTCTCGTGATGCATGATAATTAAAGTCCCATCAACGACACAGCTTTCAAAGGCAATGCCATGCAAATGTAAATATTGATGTAAACAGAGTGATACCACGTCATTCACAGACGTCACGCCGTCAGAATAAATTGTACAGAACAAGATTATACAGATCTGTTATAACTGGTGTAGATTGTGTTGTTGTATTAATTACTTCTGTTGATGTTGATGCTGTTGGACGTGTTACATCAAAAACAAAAGAAATTAAACTATAACTCCATGTAGTCGGTGATTCCCTTCTCTGCCGTTCAAAAATCTATTTTTCTCGCCGATAAGATGATTAATTTTATCTGTTTTATATCATGTCAACTGATTTTATTCACACATATGCAATATTAAAACGGATTAAAAAAACAGGCAAGTCTGTGCAAATACTTTCAATGAGTGGCAAGAAAATATGATTATATATAAAGCAAGGGAGATAACTCCCATTGATTTCTAAACATTTTCTTCAGGTTTGTAAGTATGGATTATGAAAAGTTCTTTCAGCTTATTGTACATACGCTTACAGCGTAGCCGAAATCTTGAGCTTGATTTTGTGGACAACTCGTACACATTTTACACCTTTGTGTGCATGAAGGTGACAGTGTACATATCGTACTAGTCATCGAAACGTCACATAGAACATTTTATTGGTTGTGAAAAAAAGAACTTTTCATAACTCCTATTTATGTATATCGCCCATACAGCACACATATTGTTGACGAAATCCAAAGCAAAAATCAGGAACCATTAACAAAATCTGGCGAAAGTTGTTTCTAGTGCCCCTTGAAACTATCAATTTGGAATTCGTACACTTATTGATCATGTGACACAGTTTGACCTTAAGCCTTTCCGTATTTCATAGTTCCAACGCTCCGATCACTTTCTTTTTTATATGACATTTTTCGAAAGTAAATACATTATTTTATGTATTTCATAAACTTCGGTAATAGCAGAAACAGTAATTCTGTCGAACTATCATACCCTCGTTCTTTGACAATGTGCCACCCAAACAATGGAATCAAAACCAAGTATGCGATGCTATGAAAGTTTTCATCTGTCCAAACTATGGACTCCTGCAATCAGTTTGAATGTGAATTTCAAGAAACTGACATTATTTTTGAAGATTATGTCTGAAAAGCTGCGAAATGAGATCATGATGTATTTGAATCTTTTCTAACATTAATAGCGTCCTAATTTTTAAATCAAGAACTAGAAGTACTCTTCTACATCAGTAACTTGGCCATGATATCAACTTACAACTTGAGCATCAAAGATGGCTACCTGTTAACCTGTACGATATTCCATCCTCCAGTTGAATAGAATCGTATACACTTTTAACATGTATATAAGGTATCAACCGAAGACATACGATCATTTATATATATAAAACATACAAAAAATACGTATTATTGAAATTCCAAGGAGTGGAGTTGAACGTTATTTTAAAATCTATCATTTATTTACACCGTGAGATGTTTTCGTATAGTACCGAGCCTGGTCTCTAGTCCGATTACTATAATGTATTTACACCGTGGGATGTTTTCGTACAGTACCGAGCCTGGTCTCTAGTCCCATTACTATCATTACAGTACCGAGCCGGGTCTCTAGTCCCATTACTTTCATTTATTTACGCCGTGAGATGTTTTCGTACAGTACCGAGCCTGCTCTCCAGTCCCATTACGATCTTTTATTTACACCGTGGGATGTTTTCGTACAGTACCGAGCCTGGTCTCTAGTCCCATTACTATCATTAAAGTACCGAACCTGCTCTCCAGTCCCATTACTATCTTTTATTTACACCGTGGGATGTTTTCGTACAGTACCGAGCCTGCTCTCCAGTCCCATTACTATCTTTTATTTACACCGTGGGATGTTTTCATACAGTACCGAGCCTGCTCTCCAGTTCCATTACTATCATTTATTTACAACGTGAGATGTTTTCGTACAGTACCGAGCCTGGTCTCTTGTCCCATTACTATCATTACAGTACCGAGCCTGGTCTCTAGTCCCATTACTTTCATTTATTTACACCGTGAGATGTTTTCGTACAGTACCGAGCCTGCTCTCCAGTCCCATTTTTATCATTTATTTACACCGTGAGATGTTTTCGTACAGTACCGAGCCTGATCTCCAGTCCCATTACTATCATTTATTTACACCGTGGGATGTTTTCGTACAGTACCGAGCCTGGTCTCTAGTCCCATTACTATCATTTATTTACATCGTGAGATGTTTTCGTACAGTACCGAGCCTGGTCTCTAATCCCAAATACCAAATTTGCCATGACATATTCGAGGGGTGCAGAGAGAGAAAGTGAGCGTAACCCCTGGATATCGAGGATGGGTAGTAACGTGATTTTGCTTTGCCAGTCACTTTTGTGACATCATTCACTTGTTTCCAATTGTCATCGAAATAACAAAGTACACCATAGATTTCCTTATTTATTTAAACTGACACTGTCTTGATAGTTTTGGCGCCCGATACTCAGCTAGTGATCCTCTAGGGGTTACACTCATTTTCTCTCTCTCCACTCCTGGAATATGTCATAGCAAAATTGAAGGTTCAGTGTGCGCCGCCTTGTGGGTGAGACAAAAACACTAGTTCGATCGTTTAATGTACATCAACAGAATCATGCTGTCACGTAACGGCGATACAATTGAATGGCTTTGAAGTCGGATATCACTCCTTCGTAATCTTCAAAGGACAGACATCAGCCTAGCGATTGGTCAGGTGTGGTTTTTACCTGAGACCAATCAAACAGCTATCTTCGTTCAATTTTGCTATGACATATTCCAGGGGTGCAGAGAGCGAAAGTGAGCGTAACCCTTAGAGTATCGAGGAAGGGTCATGTTTTGGTGAAGCTTAGCTGTTCACCAAGATAGGCCTCCAAATATTCTGTGTTATGTATGTATCTCAGTTAATTTAAAGTATGAAACAAGTTATTTCAACTTATATTAACCACTTTTAATGGCCCGGATGTTAGTGCACTAGGGATCTTAACTCGTTGATGAAAGGCAACTGCGCTATCTACTTCGTCAACCTACCACCCGGTTAGCCAGTGGTTTGATGACCATCAGAGAGATAATAATGGTATGGTCGATCCCTTAGACTTAGTAACTGTTTTTGTCCATGATTGATCTCATCAAAGAAGACAACGACATTGCTACGGTACACTTGTAGAAACGAAACCGATCTAATTCACACGACTTAAATTAAGAACTCTTGTATTTTTAAACATTTGTTTCAGGTTGGTAAGTGTGGACTGTAGAAAGGTTCATGCAACACAAACCACAACCGGTTTAGAGTTTATCTGAGTATGAGGAAACAAGAGAAAGCCAGTCAAGGGTAAGGATACAATG